TCATCTTTGTTCCAAGTTTTTTCTTTGTCTTCTGAAAGTTTTTATATACATACCGAAAATTTACACTTTTACAGTTATTTTTTGTTTGTTTGTTTTCTGTGTTTGGAATATATTTTAAACAGCCTTTCCCATTCTGAGATTATAAAAAATTCCATTGTGCTTTTTTCTAGTTTTGTTATGATTTCACTTTCTGCCTTTAAATTTTTGTTTAATCTGTAACTTATTTTAATATAAAGAGTGAGGTAGGGATACAGCTGGCCCAATTATCCCCATACCATAAACAGAATGAATAATTCATCTGCTCTCTACTGATACAAAATGCTGTATTTATGAATGTCCACATATATTGGGGTATATTTCTCACCTCCCTATGCTGCTCCATTTGTCTGTTTACTTTGGTTTCAGTAATAAAAAGTTTCAGTTATTACAGCCTCATCAGATGCATTTAGATATGCCAAGACTTTTACTTAGATTTCTATTTTAGAATTTTTCTAACTATCCTTGTGCATAATTTTGACAAATTCTGAAAGAAATTCTATTGTTACTTTGATTGGGATGGTCTTGAAATAATATAATAGATTACTTAGGGGGAATTGACATCTTTATGATATTCAGTGTTCCCCTCTAAAAACAAACTACATCTCTCCATTTATTCTTATGTTCCTTAGGGGAGTTTTAAAGTTAAGTTTAAGGCTGGGCATGATGGCTCACACCCTATAATCCTAGCACTCTGGGAACCCGAGGCCAGTGGATTGCCTGAGCTCATAGGTTAGAGACCAGCCTGAGCAAGAGCAAGACCCCATCTCTAAAAATAACCAGGCATTGTGGTGGGTGCCTGTAGTCCCATCTACTCAGGAGGCTGAGTCAAGGGAATCACTTTAGCCCAGGAGTCTGAAGTTGTTGTGAGCTATGACCTGACAGCACTCTACTGAGGGGTGACAAAGTGAGACTCTGTCTCAAAAAAAAAAAAAAAAATTAAGTTTATTCCTAGGCATGTATATATATATATGTCTGTGTTTATTTTTTGTTAATAGGCTCTTTTTTCTATTATGTTTTCTAGCTAACTATTGTTTACATACAAAAAGCTTAATAACGATTATATCGATAATTAGAATACTTCTCATGTTTCAAAATTAAGCATGATTCTGATTTTGGCCTGAGATATTATAAGTTTTTTTCTCCATAACATAAAAGTGCAGGATGAAGCAGCAAGTGCTAAAGTAGAAGCTGCAGCAAGTTATCAAGAAGATGTAGTTAAGATCATTGATGAAAGTGGTTACATTAAACCTCAAATTTTCAATGTGGATGAAACTGCCTTACACTGGAGAAGATGCCATCTTGAACTTTTATAACTAGAGAGTAAAAGTCAATGACTGCCTTCAAAATTTCAAAGGACAGTCTGACTTTCTTGTTAGGGGTAATGTAGCTGGTGCTCTATAAACAGAATAACAAAGCCTGGATGACATATATCTGTTTACAGCATGGTTTACTGAATTTTAATTTTTTTTTAAACAGAGTCTCACTCTGTTGTCTTAGCTAGAGTGCAATGATGTTATTATACCTCACCACAACCTCAATCTCTTAAGCGCAAGTGATTTTCCTGCCTCAACCTCCCAAGTAGCTGGGACTAAAAGCACATGCCGCTATGCCTAGCTAGTTTTTCTATTTTTTGTAAAGACAGGGTCTCACTCTTGCTCAGACTGGTTTTAAACTCCTGGCCTCAAATAATCCTTTTGGCTTGGCCTCCCAAAGTGCCAGGATAACAGGCATGAGCTACTGTGCTTAGCCAGTATACTGAATATTTTAAGCCTACTTTTGAGAACTACTGCTCAGAAAAAAGATTCCTTTTAAAATATGACTGCCCGTGGGCTGGATATGGCGGTCACACCTGAAACCCTAGTACTCTGAGAAGCCAAGGCAGGTGAATCCCTTGAGCTCAGGAGTTAGAGACTAGCCTGAACAAGAGCGAGACCCCATCTCTACTAAAAATAGAAAAATTAGCCAGGAACCAATGGCCGCACCTATAGTCACAGCTACTCAAGAGGCTGAGGCAAGAGGATTGCTTGAGCTCAAGAGTTTGAGGTTGTAGTGAGCTATGGCACCATGGCACTTTGTCTTATAAACAAGAACAACAACAACAAATAATGACTGTTTATTTTACCTGGTCACCAAAGAGCTCTGATGAATATATACAAGAGGGTTAATGTTGTTTTCATGCCTGCCAGCATAACAATCACATCTCAGGCTCCACTTATAATTCTAGTTCTTTTGCTATTTCCATCAAATTTGCAGTTCCTTGAACCCCTCAAAGTCATCCAAGAATGTTGGAGTCAACTTCCTCCAAACTCCTGTTGATGTGGATGTGTTTACCTCTTCCCATGAATCATAAGTATTCTTAGTAGCATCCAGAATGGTGAATCCTTTCAAGAATGTTTCAATTTACTTTGCCCAAATGAATCAAAGTAATCACTATCTATGGCAACTAGAGCAACCTGGATAATGAACATAACTTTTATACATGCTAGGAAACCAAAAATTGTGTGTGACTCATTTTATTGCAGTATTTGCTTTATTGTGGTGGCCTGGAACCAAACCCATTATGTTTCCGAGGTATGCCTGGAATGTCTTCTCGGTGATCTGCCTACGCCCAAATTTCCCATAAACCCCAACAACAAAACCTCCCCTCTGCAGAACAGTCTCCTCTAGGATCTCATTTGATCCTCACCAGGACCCTGAGAGACCAGGACCATTTTATATATGGAAAAGCGAGGCTCAGAGACACGTCCAAGGTCCAGAGAGCAAGTCAGTGACAGCACTGGAGGAGCCCAGGTAAGCTGTGCAATGGAGTGGCCTGCAGCACACGCAACAGTTGCAGTTGTTCAACTGCAACTCAGCTGCTCACCAGCCAAGATCTCAGGCTACTTAACCGCCCAGGGTTTCTCTGAGGGTAAAACAAATTCACTTAGCATAGTGCACTAAATAAAGTGCCACTTAATATTATTAGCTAATCCAGATTTATTTCCACTCTACCAACCCCATGTTCCAAATTATTTGTGGTTCCTTGAACAAAAGTAAGGACCCAGGATCTAGGAGACAGAAGCCAGCTCTTATTCTCCTTTTACCTCTTATGTTGGGCAAGCCCCTCTCTGAGACTTGGTTTCTGTATCTATAAAATGAGGGTATCCTCAAAGGTATTGTCACAGATTCCTGTGACACCAGGGGAGAGGACCTCATGGTACATCTGTGACAATGGTAAAAGTTACTCTGACTGAGGCTCCCTGGCCTCCTGACCTATGGCCAGCCAATACCTCCCTACCTCAGGCTCATCTGCCCCCTAGGCTCTTGCCCCATCTTAGACAAGGGACCAAGTCACTCTTGTCACTTGTCTGGCCCTCATGTGGTGCCTAGGTTGCAAACAGAGCCCTTCCTGCTCCTGCTGAGCCCTGGCACTGATCTGAAAGCCCAGTTCTTAGAGCTGCCCTTCCCTGCCTTGGAGCTTGTCTAGCTGAGTCTAACCCAGCTTCCCTAATGCAACAGCAGTCACCTGCCCCTTGTTTCTATCACTACTTCCTGGGTGCCCCCTACCTACCCATAGGGACATCCTACGACCTAAGACTCGATCCAAGGCTCTGGTCCATGTGCAGCCCACCAGCCCCTACTATGTACTTGCCCAATACCCAGGAGGGTTTCCTGCGTTCCAGGTTGGACAACTTCCCACACCAGTAGCTTGTTCTGTCCATATGAAGAGATTCCACATTATCCTAGTGTGGCTGGGGTGTGGGGTCTGCCCATCTGTCCCCCCCCCCCCCGCCAATTCAACTGGCCCTTCTGCAGCAACAAGGCCCAGGATGACCAGCCACCAAGAGAGAAATAATACCTATATTTATTATGTGCATACTGTATGCTATCCTAGAGCCTAAGCACTTTATATGAATGAACTATTGTTTTTTTGGGGACAGAGTCTCACTTTGTCAACCTTGGTAGAGTGCATGGCATCACAGGCCACAGCAACCTCAAACTCTTGGGCTTAAGCGATTCTCTTGCCTTAGCCTCCCAAGTAGCTGGGACTACAGGAGCCCACCACAACACCCAGCTATTTTTTAGAGACAGGGTCTCACTCTTGCTCAGGGTGGTTTTGAACTCTTGAACTCAGGCAATCCAACCACCCCGGCCTCCTAAGTACTGGGATTACAGGCGTGAGCCACCATGCCCACCATGCCCACCATGCTGAATGAACCTTTTAATGGGGTAGGTGCTAACACTTGTCTCACTTTATAGAATTCTTATGTGACTCACCCAAGATTGCACAGCTAGGAAACAGCAAGATCAAACCCCACAGTGTGTCTTCAGGGCCCATGCTCTCAGTCTGACCTCTTTACAAGAGGCTAGCCCTGGGTCTTCCAGAAGGACAGCTGCTTTGCATTCATCCAGAGCCTTCCAGCCTAAGCCTCCTGCCCTTCTTGACTCAGACTCTACCTAAAAACTTGAAATGCCAACAGCCATCTGCAGGCTGCAAGGAATCCCACTTGTTCTAGAAGCTGGCATCCTCCAACCCTGGCTTTTTCATGAAGGGGATAAATTCTAGGCTTCTGAACATTCAGCCCCACCGAAAGAGACCCCCCTAAAGGACCTTCTCTGCTCTCACCCTGTGCACAGTCCATTTGGTATTTGTTCTCCATGGCTTTATTGGAACAATATACAGCCACATCTAATCACAGTCACAAGCCTGGCCCAGCACCTGACCTTGTTCCTGAACTCCATAACCTCATTAATACAAAACAGGCCAGTCACACCCCAAAGCACCAAGAGGCTGTTATCACCTCACACATATTCTCTCTCTCTCTCTCTCTCTCTCTCTCTCTCTCTCTC